TGTACTAGAAGCCAGATAATGAAAGTGTCTCAAGAAGGAAGGAGTGATTGCTATGTAGTAAGTATAGTGCAGTCAGTTTAAAGACTGAGAATGTGGTGTCTGACTCAGGAGTGGAATGCTTTCCTTTCATGTGTGTGTGTGTGAGTACTGTCAAGTTGGAACTGATCTATAGCTGACCATCCAGTGGATTTTCAGAGATAGGTAATAGCATGAAAGGAGATTGCTCATTTTTCTCTCATGGAGCTAGGGAATCTGAACCATGTATCTTTGCCACTAGGCCACCAGAACTTCCTTTCATGGAGAAACATAAATTTGATTCTAGCCAACTTCATGCATAACCAGCACCCTTCTATCAGTGAAGGCTTGCATACTCTGTGATGCTGAACAGATTTCAGTAGAGCTTCCAGACTAAGACAAACCAGAAAAAAAGCAACCCTGGTCATCTAATTCAGTAAATCAGACAGTGAAACACTTGGGCCACAACAACTTGATCCCCAGCCAATCAGAAAGATGATAAAGGACCAGGAAATTCCCACCCCACCCCTCGTTGTGTATGTTTGCCTCCATGAGTCAGTGGCAAACTCCAGGGCAGCTAATAATAACAACACATCATAAAGTGCCGAAGCCATTGATTTCCTCAACATAGAGCAGATCTGGAGAGCAGTGGGAGCAAAAGTCTGTCCAGAATGCAGTGAAGAGAGAACAGACAGAGAGAAGAAACTACGGGAGACAGAAAGTGGGAAAAGCTCTTATGAGGCACTGTGCCAGGGTACAGAAATAGAAGATGAGACAGATAAGCTCTTTGCTTTTTTTAAAAATAATTTTAATGAGCATTTACAGAGATTTTGGATTTCCATTCATTCATTGCTGCACTTCTCTTTGCAAAAGCTCTTTGCTTTTGAGGAGGCACATGGAAGAGAATGATTTGTACATCATCACAAAGAAAGAAATAGGACAGAGGCATATGCTGGAAGTTCCGTGACTCCATGAGCACAGAGAAAGAAGGCTAAAACTTGTCTGTGGAGTCCAGAGTCCTCACTTTAATACAGAACATATGAACTTAGGCCCCAAAGAAGATGGGGTTTCACAAGTTGTCAGTGTGTGGAAAGGCGTTGTTGGCTTGTGGACTTTCAGGAGAGAAAGCAGTGCTCTGTTCTGTCATCACCACTAGCTACCAAAGTCCATAGCACATGGTTAATCTATATTATTGGATGATTTTGTGAATTGCAATGGCTGTAATTTGTAAGAAGCAGGTAAGCCCAACAGAAATTTACATAGTAACAAGAAGATAAAGAGAAGAACTGATTTGAAGGACATTTAGACTGTACTGGTACACTTGGAAGCAAGCCCGGGAGGCACAGCTTGCTGCATGCTGGGATGCTAACTAGAAGGCTCACAGTTTGAATCTACCAGCTGCTCCTCTGGAAAGAGCTGAGGCAGTCTTTCTAAAATTCATACTCTTTAAAAACCCAATGGAAGGTCACCATGAGCCAGCCAGGCTGAATGCCAACCAAAGGGTTCTTTTACCCTAGATTTTTACCATTAACTTCTGAAATATTTAGTCATGCAAAAGTCTAACAGAAGATGTGTCTTCATATGTATTTATATGAGTTACAACTATATTCATGTATAGGGTATACATAGTTAATGAAAATTTATTAAAATAGTATACATAGAATATCCAAAGTTATGAAAATTTGTTAGCTGTAACCAAACACCTTGGAGGAATGGATCATTGAGCTTGGGGATTCAAGACCATAAATTTTTAAAACATAATGGTCAATTGGTACAAGGTAGTCCCTAAAGAAAATGTTCTATACCCTTCTTTGCGGAATTCTACCTCCCTGCTGGGATTTTTAAAAGTTTTTGCTTGGCTAACTAAGGGGCAACCATTTGTCTCTCCTCATCCACAATAAAGAACAGTGAAGAAAATCAAAGATGCAGGGAAACAATTAGAGTCTAAGGGACTAATGGACCATGCAGATCTCAGACTGTGGCTATGAGGTCAGAAGCAGCCTGGCTACTCCTGTTAGCCACACTGAAAGGGATCACAGTTGAAGTTCCTGGACAGAGGGAAGAGAAAAATGTGGAACAAAGTTCAGAATCATAAAATGACCAGGCTTACTTCTTATATAGAGGTTGATGAAGTCTTGGAGACCATGGCCATTAGTCATAGTCTGGAACTGAACTCATTCTGGCAGCTCAACTTTCAGCCTATTAACAAACAGACCTAATTCACCAAGGGCTCCTTGAAAGGAAGGTGGACAATCTACTTAAATGTGATTTACAGCTTCTGAAAGCTGCTGAAGGGTCAGCCATGAGTAGATTCTGACTCATTGGCAATGCAGTGTGAGTGTTAAGGTGCACAACAAACATCAGGAAGATATGCACTCCAAAGAAGACTCAACTATAGGAAATTAAATAAAAAGGTAGCATTTATTCAGAGACAAAGTTCAGAGGAAGTAAAGGGTAGGAAGGAGGAAGAATGGAAATAGGAAAATGAGAGGAAGTGGGTTGAGTTTATTCCATTGTGGGGGATACAGTCAATGTCTTGAAACAATGTGTATGAATTAGTGAATGAGAAAGTAGCATGCTCTGTAAACTTTTATTCAAATAAATATAAAAGTTTTTAAAAAATCTTAGTTAAATGTAATGATGAAAATAATCAATAATCCAGCAGTTCTGGAATATCAAAACTCCCTCATTCATTGTTGCCAGGTTTTCAAGTATGTATATCTTGATGGAAGGAGGGAGACACTGCCCATCTTTCTCCTTCTGAGAGGTTGTTCACACTGTTGACTTTCTGGTTAGTATACAACATGTAACCAACTACACCACCAGGGTAAAGAATCTTAAATGCTATCTGTTCAGTAAACTCTCCAATTTACCTCTCTGCACTTTGCATGGTTAGGAATGGGCTCTGGGGAAATGCCAGAGATTTGAGGCAAAATTTCAAAAAACGTTTTTGTGACCATGGGGCAGAAATGATGTTTGCTAAAAACAGAAGGATAGGTGCTCGGGTAGATCAGCATAGTTAATGAAAAGGTAAGAATAGGAGAAGTTAGTGAGAAGAGAATACAGCAATCAGGTAAGGGTAGCAGTCAGACTAGCCTTGGTCAGGAGGGAAGTAGACAGGACACAGTGAATTCAAAAGTTCATGGTAGATTTTCACAGATGGAATACACATTTAAAAGGGGACACATTCAGCTCATTGCTCTGGACTCTGAACTGTCTCATAGTCGACCCTCTATTGTGTTTCCACGGCTGTAAATTTCACCAGAAGAGATTGTTCATCTTTCTCCTGTGGATCAGCGCTGTCAGAGAGCTGTGGCTTTTGGGTTAGCAGCTCAACTCCCTACAAACTATGCCCCCAGGGCTTCCTTTTTATTCCACCAGGGGTGGTGGTTGTTGTTAAGTGCTGTAAAGTCATAAGCGACTCATAGCGACCCTATGAACGAAAGATCTGAACACTTGTATAACTTTGATCATTTCTCCAAGTTCATAGAGTTTACAGAGGCAAGCTATTTTGGAAGTGAATGCCACTCCTGTTTCCAAGCTTGTTTTAATTGGGAAGCTCCATCAAACACTGTCCACCACAGGTAACGATTATTTAGGGAATTAGAGGGCTAGAAAACCAAACAAGGTTTGCTGCCATTAGGTTGATTCTGACTCTTGATTAATCCAAATATACAAGTGAGAATTGTGTGCCAGAGGGTTTTCTAGGCTGTGGCTGGAAAGGAAGCAGATGTTGCCAGACTTCTCCTCTGATGCCCTTCTGAGTGACTGAGTCCACATGACTAGCTTTTTAAATCATTATTACTTTTGGTTATCATTTGATCACTTTTGGTGCAGGAAATCATGTAGAAATGAAAGGACTATGAGAACCAGGGTGCTGGAACTGGAAGTGCTTCATATGACAAAGTCCTGCTAGTTTTGGGGGAAATCCAGACAGAAAAAGTGCTAACGCCATAGACCATCTTCTGAATCTCCAGGCCTGAATAGGTGGATGGGCCCTGTGGCAGCCACCCTCTGGTTTATATCCTAACATTGTTGTACCTTTGAGGCAGGGAAATTACAGAACCAAGTTGGTCCACACTGTGCTTTCCTAGAGGTAAAGTAATTTACAAAAATCATTTGGAAAGTAATTTGCATACCATCAAGTAACAGATATATTCAAACCACATGGCCCAGTAGTTCTGCTTGTGGATTTTTTTCTCTTAACAAAGTAGTTTAAAAGAATGAAAATACTATCTTTCTCCATCAATATGGTAATTAATTAATTAGAATTTTGTATTGCTGCCTGTAAGGTCTTAATGGTAAGGTGGGTATAACACATACCTCATTGGGTTACTGTCAACATTAAATGAGATTTAAATGCAAATTGCTTATTAGCACAATTTCTAGCAAGTGCTCTGCAACCCTGAATGCTGCAAACTGTTAACTTGTTCAGCTACTAAAGAAAGAGTTGAGGGCTCAGGATCACCCCACAGAGGCATCTTAGAGGAAAGGTCTGATGTGATCTAATTCTGAAAATTCAGCCACTGAATACTCTGTGGAATACAGTTATACAGGGATACACATGGGGCTTATCAGTTAACAGTGGATCTCAGGAGACATATACCATAGCTGTTTGCACTGCTAACTGAATGGGTGCTCTTCTCTGTTGGTTCAAATCTACCAGCAGCTCCAGGGGAGATAAATGGACCAACTCCTCCTGTGCTATTTTACAGCCTCAGAATCCCATTGGAGGCCCAGTTATGTGACAGAATAAACCAACTGTCGGTGAGTTTGACTTTGTGAACTTGAGCTGATTGATTGCAAATATGGTCTTTAAAGCCTGTAGAGTCAGTAGAGACTTCCACAAATTTACAGATATGGGTCATCTGTCTCCCTTATTTACTGTCACACAAACCTTTGAGGTTATAGATAACATAAAACTTAAAAAGCAGCACAGCACTTTAATCATTCAGTGACAAAATGTCTGTTTCTTGTCTTTTCAGCGGTGTTTGGACAGAGCTTATCTGAGACTGTTGCCTATGAACAGAAGTTTGGCACCCATCTCGTGCCCATTCTGGTGGAGAAATGTGTGGAGTTCATCTTGGAACATGGCCTGAATGAAGAAGGCATCTTCCGCCTGCCAGGGCAGGACAATTTGGTGAAGCAGCTGAGAGATGCATTTGATGCAGGGGAGCGGCCCTCCTTTGTGAAGTAAGTACCCTGCAGTGCTCCTTTTTTCTTCACCCTTCCAATTTAGGTTGAGAAGATGCTATCAGAGCTGAGCTGTGGGATTTGCACAAGCCTGTTCAGGTACACACACACACACACACACACACACACACACACACACACACACACTGTCCTGCCAAACAACAAAGCTTTTCTGTTTAGGAGCACGGTGGTCAGAAATAGCCAGAACTAGGATTCCTCATTAGTTTGGGACACCACAATCAAAAAGCCAAACCTGAAGTCGAGTTGATTACAACTAATACTGATGCTTTGTGTGTGACAGTAGAATTGTATTTCACAGAATTTTCCGAGGTTCCGACTTGATGGTACGTAATACCAACAATGATCTTCAAAAGACCTTTCTATTGAGGTATCATTGGATAGATAACCTTTTATGAAACGGAGGGACTCCTATCCTGTCCTGTCCAACTCTGAACTTCATTCCGCCCTTTTAAAGAGATGTCTTGGCATGCTGGTGTCCTCTTAAATCTGCTTCAGAGGTCACCCAACTGTATTTGGAGCAGAACAGACACAGTGGTATTTCTTTGTCTCTCTCTTATTCCACCTCCCTGAGCCATGCAGCAGTTTTTATTTACTGCCATACTCAGCTAGCAGTTTCCTGTCCATTGCACACTATTCATCCCGCTTGCTTGCAAGCACTTGTCTTATTGGCACAGGAATGATTGCACTGCAGCCCATAAACCCAAATTCTATATAAGTTGAAAGGCTGAAATTTCCCATGATCTTATTTAGGACCGAGGACTAGGGCAGGTTCTGAGAAAACTGTAAGGATGTAAGTGCCCTGCTGTGCACAGTCTCCTCCCAGCTCCCCCCTCCGAGCACCACTGAAGCTCATTCTTCCACTCATTTATCTTTGAGATACATCTGCTTCTTTCCGTTTTTAGTCACTGTCTTAATTTGGGCCACCTTAAGTCTTTCCTGTCCTAAGGTACCAAGAGTGTTAGATTTTGAGAGGGGTCTCCTATGGAAGCAATGGGTTGGGTTGTTCTTAGAACTGTCTAATGGCCTTCCAGTAGCACCATAAATGACATTTCACTCTCAGGAACTAGCTTCTTTTTGCTCACCACCTTTACATTCTGTTTCTTCTTACTTTTTTTTTTTTTAAGAAGTTTTATGTTTATCAAAACATGCAGCCAGTGGTTGCTAAAGCAAAAGAAACAGTAAGCCAAAAAGGGTCGAGAAGATTATCCAGTTTGCAAAGAAATGCCTTAGGCTTTAGTTTACACACTGGTAGTCAACTTAAGCTCTGATCAGATCACAAATATCTTGAGCTGAGCTGAAAGGAAACTCTCCACACATTGTCCACGTTTCTGCCCCTGGAACTAAGGTGTAGGATAAGACCCAAAACAGGTAGTATCTTGATAAAAAGGAAAAATTCTTCAGTGTCCTCCCAGGACCCACTCTGGAGAGGTCATATCTTGAGAAGACAGGTCTGTTTTGGGAGCTGTCACTGGTGCTTGTCTGATTCTTGATCGTTCGGTACTTTGGGACACATATGGGTCATTGGTCTTCCCCAAGAGCATGTTTATAGTTTTTACTATTCTAAGGCTGTAGTCACTTGTCACTGTAAAATGTCTTTTAGAAATAAGTAGGTAGAAGAGAGAGGAGTTAGGAGTTCAGGAGTCACTTTCTGGAGACCCCAACATTATTCCTTATAGGTTATCACCTCGCTTCTTTATTGGTCATATGCACACTTCCATTTTTTTAAATTATTTTATTAATTTTAATGAACATTTACAAAGATTTTGGATTTCCATCAATTCATTGTTGCCTTTTATTGGTCATATGCACACTTCCATTTTTTTTAATTATTTTATTAATTTTAATGAACATTTACAAAGATTTTGGATTTCCATCAATTCATTGTTGCCTTTTTCTCCCTGCCCACCCCACCAGTTTGCTCTTCTCTTTGAAAAGTAAAAGAAAAATTCTTTCATTGGTATAAAATCCCCCTCTACCCCTGCTCCAAGTATACTCCACTATGCAGTCTTCAATCTGGACTCCCGTCATGACCGTATCATGGTATCATATATTGATTTTAAACTGTTCACTCCCTCATCTGTTTCAATGCAGTATAGATAATTTATCCAATTATGCTCAGTCTTACCCAACCCTGATGTTAGTCCCATTCTACAACAGTGAAACTATGCAATATTTGTCCTTTTGTGACTTAGATATTTCACTCAGCATAATGTCCTCCAGGGTCACCCATTATGAATAATATTGCATGAGTTGCTTGTTTTTTCAGTGCTGCATAGTATTCCATTGTGTGACTATACCACAGCTTCTCTATTCATTCATTTGTTGATGGGCACTTAGGTTGTTTCCAACTCTTTGCTATTGTGAGCAAAGCCGCGATAAACATGGGTGTGCATATATCTGCCTGGGTGACAGTTCTGGTTTCTTTAGGGTATATTCCCAGTAGAGGAATTGTTGGGTCAAATGATATTTCTATTTGCAACTTTTTGAGAAAGCACCATACAGCCTTCCATAGTGGTTGCACCGTTTTACACTCCCACCAACACTGAATAAGAGTTCCAGTTTCTCCACAACCTTGCCAGCATTTGTTGTTTGCTACTCTGTTAAATTTTACTATTCTTACTGGGGTGAGATGATATCACATATTTGTTTTAATTTGCATCTCTCTTAGAGCTAGGGATTTTGAACATTTCTTCATGTGCTTGTTGGTCATCTGAATGTCTTCCTTGGTAAAGTCTCTGTTCCTATCCTGTGCCCATTTTTCAATTGGATTGTTTACCTTTATCTTGTTGTGGTGCTCAAATATTTTATAAATTCTAGGAAGAAGGATTGGCCATTCACTTCTGAAATAGCAGGCCTCTGAAAACCCTATGTACAATAGAACACATGTAGATAACAGAAAGGGCAATTGAGGTTGAACTTTCAGGTATGCAAATACAAAGGAAGAGGAACAGTTGTAAGCAGACACTAGTGATTTGGACATAAAATGTAAGAACCACGAATGTATGAAATTTAGATATTGTTAAGGAAGAAATGGAATGCATAAATATTGACATACTAGGCATTGGGGAGATGAGATAGACTGGCATGAGGCATTTTGACTTGGATGATCACATATTACTCTGGAGATGAAAAGGTGAGGAAAAATGGAGTTGCTTTCATAGTAAAGAAAGCCATTGCTAGGTCCATCTTGAAGTACAATATAAAGAGTGACAGGATAATATCCATATGCATACAAGGATGGCCAGTGAATACCACTAACATTCAGATATGTGCACCAAAAACTAGAGCCAAGGAAGAGGAAATAGAAGATTTTTACCAACTTTCACAGTTGGAGATAGATCGAACATGCAATCAAGATGCATTGATAATAATGGGTGACTGGAATGCAAAAGTTGGGAACAGAGAAGATTCAGTAGTTGGAAAACGGATTTGGTAACAAATGGAGCTGGAGAAAGGATGATTGAATTTTGTACAATCAATTCATTGTAAATACATTTTTAAGAGACATAAATGCAGGTTATATACATGGATTTCACCTGATGGTATGCATAGGAATCAGATTGATTACA